TATATATAACAGAGTAGAGGTTGTGGAACAACGCTGTTATGCTGTGTATTCTGTGATTATGTGTCGGTACGAGTCTATAACTGTATCCAATCAACAAAACTACGAGCACGGATGGTTAAAGGAAGCCACTGGTAGCTTCTACTTCTTTTCTGTCTCTTTGTTGTTTCTGTGTTTTATCTTTTCGTCGCACTGACTCTGAATAGCCATTATTTCAATGTGCTTCTCTTTACTCAAACGAAACTAAAATTGAAAGTGTCTTTTTGGTCACGTCATGAGTAATTTTGATAGCATATATAATATGGTATAGTATTGCAATAGACAAGAAGCCTCGATAATTTCAGGCTGTGTTGTTGTTTTTTCCCCCATGTCTTTTTTCGCCAAACTAATACATGTGTGTATGGAAAACTCCTTTGAATAAAGTCACCTCAGCTATAAATGTACTTTCCGATGTATTCCACAGCATTAAGAAGGTGGAAGACCTCTTCAAGCAGCTGGATGCAGACAACAGCGGCTACCTAGAGAGGAGCGAGCTCCGAGAACTTCTCAACAGGTCCGGGAAAAAGTTCACCGATAAAGATCTTGACGAGATGATCAAGCAAGCCGACTCAAGTGGGGACGGGAAAATCTCCCTCCAGGAGCTTAAGGATGCTTGCTCTTAGATTAACACTTTTCTCCTTTTTTATATATCGGACTTACATAATTATATTATTAGCATTAAGTACAGTAATGTTCTGCGTATGTTGGTAAGCTTACCCCTTGGTCTTTTTGGAGGCAGCAGGTGGCGTTTGTGATTCCTAAAAGTGCTTTTGTTAATACTTAGTTTCTGAAAAAAAAAGTCGAACTGCCACAGGGATGAGAAACCAAAGAGGTCTCGTGTATTTTAGAAACTAGTTTTGTCCCAAAAGTGAAGGTAAATCAACTTTAAAAATAAAGCCAAAGCAACGCAGTGAGGCAAGGGAAGTGCGGCGGATTTCTAGGGAACGGAATTTAAAAACAAGATTCTAGACCGTGAACAAAATGGTCACATTAATGTGGAACTGATGCTATTGCTATTATGTAATACCATTTAGTAACAAAAAATACAATCCCATTTTCACCGAATTTTAATTAAAGGGAAAAGAACACAACGTCAGACTTCATCACAAATTGAACAATAGGCTTCATGTTCAAAACGACGCCAGGTGGTTGGTTCAAATAATGGAAGAATTTAAAGTAAGCCACTTTGAAATACCTACTTAAGCCAACAATGTTGTAGCATATTGGAAAATGTATTACTTTGAGTCGGGTCTTGTTGAATAATTAAAAAAATATACATGTATTTTGCTAAGGAAAAAAAAAGATTCACGTTACGAGTATTAAGGGATATCAGCATCTTATTTTTTTCTAACACTGTTAACAGTCTATGTATCAGCAATGCTCATAATACGGTGCAAAAGTGGGTCACTTGTTTATCAGTTTTGAGTCCTTTTTCTGTAGTTTTATACTTTTCATTTATTCAACTTTGTAATGAAAATGAACGCAGAGCTGTGTAGGGCTCCCTCTTGTTTGTTTTAACAGCATAGGCAAATTTACAAGCCTGGCTCAGCATTCTCAGCGTTTTCTTTCCATCCTCTAAGAGTTTACATGCATTTCATGAGTTTGCATCCAAAGCTTCTAAAATGTCATTTTCATATCGCATAATCTCAATTTCTCCATGTTTTTTCCCCCCCGCCTGTTAGATTGGTAGATCCTGATTTCTGCTAGCAGCGGATTCAGTTAGACTCAGTGTTTAATTGTAGTATTCACAGGCTGTGGTTTGATGAATAAACTTACTTTTTAACAATTTATACATGTATCTCGATTTTATTTATACATGTATCTCGATTTTTTCCCTATTTATTTGACCACTTATTTGACCCCCTTTCAGCCTGTATTAAATTCGTCTCGATACAGACAAAAGCAAAAATGAAATTATAAATTATAAAATAAATAGATGAAGACTGAGCCACCTCAATCCCCATGTCCCCGAAAAAAGTCCTAAGCTATGCAAAGCAAAACAATTTTTATCATTTGAAGCAATCTTCTAAAATATGAAACTGAAGATTGCCCATACGTTCACATATCTTTAGAGAAGCAACGCGTTGCATATTTATTTCTTAATGCAAATCTAAAGAATAAAAGTTTTGGCGTCACTCGGTACAAGTGTACCAGTGCATTGTCGATCCAGCCCTAGGTGGGACATTTGATCTCGCTTACATTCGTTTTCTTGGCATTCGACAAGGTTTGCCTTGCACCTTGGAGATGTTTTATAAACTTAATAAGTTGAAATAGTAGAAGGGTAGATGAAATACATACATGTGTATACGTTGAAACTTGTAGTATCGTTTTCTTTTTTTTGTGTGTGTAATAAGCAAGTATATGAAACCTCACGAACAAGGTGATCAGCTAAAAACACGACTTCTTGAATAGCGGTACCCACTATGATTGCAACGTCAATAACTCCAAATGAATAACAAGCTGGTTTACTACTACCGTCGAAGCTTAGATTCTTCAACCAATTATTATCATCATTATTGTTCGCACATTGATTTCTAACCCCAGTCACGCACAGTGGTAGCGATATTTTGTTATTTTCTAAAACAAGGAATGAAGCTGGGCCTGCATAGCGTGCGTACATTGTAGGCATATTGATAATTCCATCACACCTCTGAAGTTTGTTCGAAAGCATAGCAATTCAAGCGGCAATTGAACATGAACACCCTTAGGTTCCCCCC